GGCGGCTCCTAATGGATCGGAGTGAAGGCGAGCGCTGTGGTCCTGTCCCGGGTTGATCTTGCTGTTTTGTGGTTGGTTTGATGAACTGCAGGTCTCCCCGACTTAGTTCCGGATCCCTATTACATCCAGGCGTCCACGTACGTCCAGAGGATGTCTATGTATAACTTGAGGTGTGCGGCTGAGGAGAACTGTCTGGCAAGGTAGGCAGCGCCCGACTTCCTCGCTTTGCTTCACGGGCCCATGTGTCTGCACATCTCCGACCTGCCTGGGGAGAGGGAGAAAAGTAAACCTGGAGGGCCTAACACACACCCCAGTTTGTAACCCCTTCCTGCATCTTTGCCTTTGTGCAGAGCTGGCCCTCTGCTTTGACAAAGTGTGCTCACAAGAAAGGATACAGCCACATGAGTTTGAGGAAAGTGCACATTTTAAGAAAGGATACTGCACATTTCTTTTACCAGGCTCCTTTGAACATATCTGAATTGTGCAAAATGGCAGGCTTCTGAACCCCGCTTGAATCTGGTCATTTTCATCTTCCTTCTCTAATTCTAAAAAGTACTTTTTTTTTTTTTAAACCTAACCAGCACAACTTACTATTAACTTTTTTTTCTGGGCATAACTATTGAGACATAAGAGCATAAAAGACATAAGCATGTCTCTTAAAGACTAAAATCTATCAGAAAAGTATTTTCAAAGCCTTTTAAGAGTTTGAAGTAACAGCTTTGCTATCAAGTTAACTCCTATCCACTTGGCAAGGAAGAATTTTTCCTGTTTAGTTTGGAATGGAATCAGCCGTGGCGGTTTTAACCGATTCTGCTTGTGTGATACCTTATCATGCAAAACAGATTTATTTATTTGCCAGCATCATAAATTGATGTTAGTCTGTTTCCAGGATCATGCTCTTGTTAGTTTGCTCTAGAATGAAAAAGGCATAAGAAAAGCTATTTTTTTTAAAGTTAGTACAAAGCGTACTTGAAAGTTTATAATTGACTGAGACATCAATTGGTTAAAATATTGCAATATTTAAAGGATTGTAGGTCATTGCTACGTAAAATAGGATAAGCATGGGACATTTTAAATTATATATATATATATATACGTGTATATATATATATATATAGTACAACAGACACAAGCTATTTGTGGGTATGAAAACACACAATAAGATATTTTGTTTTATAGCAACTAGAGGAATTGCTTTTCTGGTACCAGAGCAATCTTACAGCCAGGCAGCAGCTCTGCATAAGTGCTACAGCCAAAGAGTCAGTGATCAAACTCCTGTTTACATTATTAGAAGCAGATCTGAATCTTACTCATTTCTTGGTCTGATACCAGGCACTTCTGAACACATCACGTGGAATTCTTCTGTGACTTTTAACACTTGAGATTTAAAGGTCTTATCAGGGTTATGTAAAGGATTAGTTGTTATTATTTTTTTGCATATCCTTATTCTTCTTTTTTGCATTATTATAGTTCAGCATATCGGGCAGATGTTAGAGACTACGATAATCGAGTACTCCTGAGATTCCCCCAAAGAGTGAAAAATCAAGGCACATCAGATTTCCTACCAAGCAGACCCCGATATTCATGGGAGTGGCACAGCTGTCACCAGTGAGTGAAGGGCTCAGTATGGTACCTTCTAATTATCTCTTTCAATTGTTAATTGAAAGCAAATTGTTATTTATTAAGCAAATTGTTAATTATAAAGCGATATGTTTTAGAACTGTGGTGAAGTGGGGAAGAAATAGGGAGGCCTTAGAATTCTGCTGTCTCACCCATTTTATGGTAATGGTAAATACTCTTTACATTGCTATATGTATCAAATCAGAATGGATGATACAAAGCTTATCTATAAATGTAAAATTTTATATCAATATAAATCTCAAGTTAGTTTTGACTATGAGTCCATTTCCCTTTAATTATATAAATCACTATTTTGTTATAAGTGAAACTAGTAAATAAAAATTGGTGTGTGTTAAAATTACTGTGTAGGCCCCAAAATGTTCATTTACTAGTATGTTCCTATAATATGTCATCTTAAACATGGAACCAGAATTTTAGTCTTAGTTTCATGGTTTAGTTTTGACAAGCAACTTTCTGATCAATATAGGTAACAGAAGGTATTGAGTTGATTGACCTCATTATCGATACATATATGATATTTCCACATAGCAGTATGGGTCTTGAAAGGCAACATTTCTGGAAGCAGGGCGAGACAAACATAGAACATTTGCAATGTGAGCAGGTAGCACTGCAAACTTGTACCACTTACGAAAATTTGTATGTAAGATTTTGCAGGTTTTTTTAGCTACTTCATAGCAGGACCAATTATAAAATGCTTGAAAACTTTCACCCTGGTGATCTTTTGTTATTACTCTCCTGTAGAAATGATTATGTAATGTGATCCATTGATCCAAAGCCTGCTGGAGTCAATCGACTATTTCCCCCTTAAAGCATCAAGGATTTTAAGTTTATAGGGTTGTAATCAAACTCAGATGTGAAATTGCTATCATTCAAACAAATTCTTTCAAAGAAAGGATGGTAATCTTGTAAGGATCAGAGAGCTAAAACCAAATCAAACAAACAAAAAGTCTCTATAAAAGTTTAGTTGACTCTGCCCTGCCACCCTGCAAACACTATCTAGTGCTTAGAAAGGTGATGGCAGATAAAATACAGAGAAATTGAATTTTTCTGTTTGTAGATCAAGCAGTTTATTACTCTGCCAATATAACCCAGCTATAGCTATCCAGATGTAAAGCATCTCTGATGCTAATTCAGCTCTTGGACAGAAAACACATTGCCAACAGCAACAAAAAAAAATCTATTTCTCATGCTCATTTTCATGACACCAAAACAAGTCCAGCTGGAAATGAACTGTAACTATCAATTAGTTTGGCCAGCCATCAGATTTCAGTGTTAGTCATCATCTTCTGTAGACCATTCTTGGTGATCTTGTCTTGTAAATTTGTGAGACTTCTATATTTCTCTTCATTTAAAATAATATGATTGAATTCTATTTAATTACATTTTTCTCACATACTGAACACGTGGGTTCATAGCATTCATAACAATAGTCAAATGCTGCACAGACAAGATGCTGAGGTAGTACAGATTTACTTTTCCACGTACTATAAATTAAAATTACAACAACAGGTGTTCAGGTTCACAGTAAGAGCTAGAAACTAATAGAGCTAGAAAAACAGATCTCAGCCCAGGTTGAAGGTAATGAATGGTTTTGAAGTAATGAGACCACATTAAGCACAGATTACAGAGACATCACTGTACAGTGTCCTTTAGTTCTTAGTAGTTAGCAACATGATAAAGAGATCTGTAAGATCAGTGTACAGAGGCTGATTATGTGGAATTTGCTTTCACTAATATTATGCGTTGCATGTATTGAGGGACCATGAAAATGGGAAAAAAAAACAATTGCAAACTTCCATGGAATTCATAGTATGTAAGGTAAGCATTCCAATCAAACTCTGCCCAAAGGCAAAGCTTAAGATACACAATTCAAATACGAATACTTAATGTTATTGTTACTATATAGAGGAGAAAAGGGAAAATTTTGAGGAAAACAAAAAAGTGCTATATTTAAATAGTCTTTTCCTCATTTTTCTTTTTTTTTGTAGCAAATAGCATTTTTATATGAAAATTAGGATAATGAGAATAAAACAGAACTGAATGGCTTGAAAGAGGAAGATTAGTTCTGCATGAAAAAGTTTAGACAATTCTGTTGGAAAGTCAATCAGATAGTAATGTAACAGAATGATACTGGTAACATCTGATCCATCCTCAACAACATATCTATGGTCTCACAGACATTATCACAGCATGGATGAATTCAGCCACTATGACTTGCTGGATGCAAGCTCACACAGAAAAGTTGCTGAAGGACACAAAGCAAGTTTCTGTCTGGAAGACACATCCTGTGACTATGGCTATTACAGACGATATGCATGTACTGCACATACACAGGTAAGATAAACGAGTTTCTTTTTCCTTTAGAGTTTATCTTCAGGTGTCTTTCTATACCAATTGATGCTAAATCATGCCCTAAGAGGCTCTGAAATTCTCTGTCAGAATGGCCAGGGTAACAACTTGCAGAGTTATGATCAACCCAGGGACTGCTAAATGTAGGTGTTTAGAGGCTCCCAATCATGGGTCACTAGCAAATGATTTAGACACACCACAAGTTCTTGCTGTTTATAGCTAGAGGACTAGACAAGCAAGCTAAAGGGAGATCCAGATAAAGTCAATAAAAAAGTGGTTTTGGTTGTCTTTCCTTCCCAAACTGCTTTGCCATGTCCCAGAGTTCATAGCTAGGCTAGTATTCTCTCCCTCTCAGAAAGTGTAAGTAAAGAATTTCTTTAACACTTAGAGCTACTGAGAGGCAGTCCAGTACAGGAAATCTGCGTGCATGTACAGAAGGCCATTAAAGAGAATAGAGGCTATGTGAACATTGTTATTTGTCACATATAAATGAAGAGCAAGATGTTAAAGCTTAAAGTAATGGATAAAAAATGGAACGTGTCATTATGATTCCATAGAAGTTTGAGATAGACTTGCACCCTGAATATTACACACAGTTCTGGTCATATCTCAGAAAGGTTACATTAACGCTACCCCTTCCCTCTCCTCCCACATACGGCTTCTCCCCATGAGAAGATTAAGTAGGTAGGTAGTATGGCCATCACAATAGGAGATTTCATAGACGATGATAATTTGATTCAGAAAAGCAGAGAAAAATACCAAATCTTGAGTGGTCTTGGATGGCAAAAGCAAAGTGCTGAAAACTTACCTGAAACAGTACAATAATTTAAGACTATCCAAAAAAACCCTGTCACGTAACGGCTTTAAAACAGAGAGGAGAGCTCTTGTCACACACAAGTAAATTGTTAAACTTGACACAGGATGCTACAGAGACCAAAACCATACACAGGAATTCCAATTTAGAGTAGTAGAAGCCGTTAAACACAATCTGAAGGCATTCTCTGTCTCAAAATCTATTAAATGCCTGATGGAAGATGTTTGCTTGGGTAAAAGACATAGCACATCCCATTTTTTATGTTCTTTTTCCTTAAGTATTTGCTGGTGACTGCTGTTAGGGACATGACGTTGGCTTGATGAAACTGTGGTCTAACTCACTGTGGCCATACTTACACATAAATTTGTATTCATGATTCCACAGTTTTTAATCTAGTAGGTATTTATTTTATCACAGAGAAATGCCAGCTCTGCTCTGTTGGCTGATGTGTCCATACTTGAGTTTTAAATATGAATCATCCACAATGCTTTGAAGAGGTTTTAAAAATATCTTTTCTCCTTGTATAGACTATGACATCTAACTAAACATACACATTTTACAGCTGGAGTATTTGTGTCACTAGAATCATGTCTGTGTCAGCATTTCCACTGGAAGCCCATATTTCAGGGGTTTGTAATAAGACCGTAAAACTTTCCTCCAGCCTCAGACTTGGCACATATAAGCAGGTCTGAGCTGATCACCAGCTGGGTCAGGAGGGAATTCCTGCAGGATTTTGTTCTGTGTACTCTGTATGTTATCAGAACATACTGACTCTGACTAAAGACAGCTATTTTGGACATGGACCATTTTGAACCATCGTTACATTTGTGTATAGAATTTGTTATAATGTGCTTAACAGCAAAGAAGTTTTCTGAAAGCATATGTCTGGAAGAAAGGCTACAATTTAAATTTTGTCTGATTTTTTTGCGTCCTAAATTTTTCAAAGCCTGCACTTGCTGAAACGGAACCCCACCATACAATGAAGAGCATCTTTTTAACAATGATCCTGACTTTTTAAAATTCGGATAGGTGGAATAGTGTCAAAAATCAATCTTAAAAAAGCAACACAACATGCTCTCATCCTATAACTTAAGTGTCTTTTGCTCTCCTTCCTGCATGGCAGTGCATGGGATGACCTGCCAAATAACCATTCCGGCACTACACTAATCATGCAGCTCGACTGACTGTATGGTCTCCTACTCATCAGAACTCTAGTTTAGTGGAGGGTCAAAACTGCAAACAGGTAAAGAACACTTCTCAAAGTGCTGTAAGATCTTTTTAGAATAAAGTATTTCTAAAATATTTTATTTTTTGGCTAAATAAATAGGAATATCTCTGATATACAGCTAACAGTAGTATGGCTGTTTTTATATAGCAGAAATAAAATGGGGTCTCTAAAACTGCTATGTCAGAATTAAGTATTCCAGTTTAGATATTCAAGTATGATGCTGCAAAAAATCGAAGCATTATTATTTATTCTTAGTGAAAGGCTGTGATGGTTATGTATAATTTTGTCTTTTATTAATTTCTGAAATGTTACTTTCCCTAAAAATTTTGATGCCTATTTAAATTATTTTTTAAGGGACTGAGCCCTGGCTGTTACGACACTTACAATGCTGATATAGATTGCCAGTGGATTGATATTACAGATGTAAAACCTGGAAATTACATTCTGAAGGTAATTCTTTGGGGTCTTTTGAGGAGGAGATGGGTTGTTTTTTGTTTTTTAAGAAGCAAGCATATATGTCTATCCTTTTGAACTGATTTGGTATGTTAACAACTCAAATTTAGAAAATAAACAATACTATGCCTTCTCCCCTCAAGGTCAGTGTAAACCCCAGCTATTTAGTACCTGAGTCTGATTATTCCAACAATATAGTACGCTGTGATATACGCTATACTGGCCACCATGCATATGCCTCTGGCTGTACAATTTCACCGTAAGTACACTCCTTTTCCTTTTTGTTGTTTTATATTCATAATACTAAGATTGATGAACATATTTATAAAGCGTAGAGATTAATTTTATATTGCAAAATAACTTCCACTGTGTGCTCTGATAATATTGGTTAATATTGTTTTCCTATGACTATATCATTTCATGAGTTTCAGAAACTTCTAGTATATTAATTAGAATTAGAGCTGGTATTTCTAACAAAGGTCTGTTTATGGGAACAGGATGGGAACAGTTACTTTCCTCATAACTGCATAGCTTTCAATCCTTAGCCCTGGTACTTAAGCTAATTCTGTAAGTCTAGTACTGAATTTTTGAAAGTATTTGAACTTGAAAAATGATCTTAAGTTTCCAGAATACATTCCTCAGTCAGTGCAGGACTCTGCTCAGAAGTTGTGTGTGGATGCTATAAATTGATATTGAATATCCTCAGACAGCACTAGCAGTTTTGAAAGGGCTATATAATTCTGATAGCAAGATTGCAGGAGTAAAATTCTCCAGTAAAGACTTTTGGTAAGACAGTAACAGAACTCTTAAAACCTTTCATAAGAACACATACACAGATGTTATTTTGCTGCTTCTGCCTCAGCAGCCATCCTTCCTGGAACAGTTCTTCCAGACACACTCCATTTATAGTTTTCCCATTAGTTCTTCAAATGTTTGAACAAGGACACAATTGTGTGTGTCTCTCCTCTATCCCCGCAAGGCAAATTTACATTTAATAAGCGTTCATAATCTAGACCTGCATGCACAGAAGACCAATCAGTAGTTTTTAACAGAGGTAAGCAGTTACTCTGGTACTAACATAGTAACTTACACAAAATACTTATCAAATTGTTTCATCTGAATGGCACAAGTGATACCTTGACACTGTGTACTAATCTACATAAGATTGAGTCGTTAATGAAGGGTAAAATGAATGAATAGTGAAGTCTGCTATAACAGCCTTAAACATGAGAATATTGAAAAATGAGAATATTGCTTACTTAGACTCATTAAAGTGCTCATTCCTCCCTTTGTCAGTGATTCATTGAGGCTAAAGAGAGAAACATTTTTTCACCCCAGTGTTGAGAGAGGCATTTATAATCACAGTTAGGTCATAAATACAACAAGTTAAGCGGCTTCAGCATAATCCTTTACTTGTTCTCAGCATATGTCCGTTGTCCTTCTAGGAAACAACGAGAGTATTCTGCAGGTCATGAGCAGTCATTCTTGGCAGACCTGTGAGAAAAAGCTTTTAAAGGATTTCTCTTAACAGGACAGGACTGACTTAATTGGTTCCTCCACGAACACCTATTTATTCACATTCAGGTTGAAGGAAACGAGTCATTTAACTTACAGTCTCCCACCTTACCTCTATAAATGTAATCAAATATATTAATGCCAGTGAGAAGACAAAAAAATTCCTGTGAACCTTTGTTAAGCTGCATCTTCAACTGGACAAAGGGATTTTTTATATTGTGTTTACTTTGCTATTTTTATGTCATTTACTGTTTTCTTTTTAAACAGATATTAAGATGGAAGAAAATGGATGAGCATTGCCAAGTGTTTTGAACAGAAGTATCATTATATAAACTTCAATAGAATGTAAACGCTATAGGAGGAAAACTACAGAACATACACGCATACACTCACACACCTTATGTGATGCTGAAGCACTTCAACTGCTTCTCAACAAAATCTGCAACTGGATTTTAAGAATTTGAATTGGCATTCCTTTTTATGCTACTGAAATGTGTGGAAATGGTGATTCATGCACAGATTTTTTTAGATTTTGAAAATCTAACTCATTCATAAAAACATGAATTATTTCTTAACTCTTGAAACTTTGGAGTTCAGGTGATAGATATCAGTCAGAATATTATTAGTGAATGTGTTTAACAATATGTAAAATGCATTAAATGCAATAGAAAGTACAATGCCAGCTATCTCAGAAAATACCAGAATGAAAATTTGAGAGTAATGCTACAATGCCATTATAATAAAACTCACTGGGACACATTGATATAAGAGAAAAATATATTCAGTTTTCAAAGGATATTAAAAATATAGCAAAGAAATATATATCTACTAGTTATACCCCTGTGAGAAAAGTTATGCTTACATTTTGAAAACCTTAGAATTTTTTTTTTTTGGTTAAATCAAACATAAATAGGTATTTGAAAGAAGCCTTTTTATCTTTGGCAACCAAATTAAAGAACTGACCCACCTCTTTAGGTTGAACAATTTTTTTCAAGGTGGGGTTTTAAAAAGATCTCTGCACATGTAATGACAATTAAAATAAATACCCATCAAGAAGAAATGGGGCTCTTAGACACGAACAAGAGTCCCTGATGTAGTCATCTCTGGAAAAGCAACCAACTTGAACAGGTTCACTATTAAAATAATGCAGGCAATTTACTCAGGGGGCACCACAGACAGAAGTAGGTCAGCATCTTTTAACAAGGAATTCATATTGTGAAAAAGCCTACTACCTGCCTCCCCCTTAAGTACTGTACTTGACTTTTAAAACTCATATCTCAGCATTGAAACAATGAAGTGGAAAATACTATATAGAGAGGGAGAAGAAAAGTGAATATATTTAACATATCCTTCCTTAGGCAGTTCAGGAACCAAATACAACATCCTTAAGGGGAAAAAAACCTCAGCCCAAATTACTTACTGGTGCTGGATATACCACCCCACTCATCCCCCCTCCCCAAATTATTTTGCTTTGGCAGTGCACCCTGCTGTAAGCTAAAGTAGCTGTGATTTTATTTTTAAACTGTGAAATTAAATATCACAAGAAGATCTGTTTATATATATATATATAAAAAATGAGATCACAGATCATGTAAAATGAAGGATTTACTTTTGAAACTAAGTGGCATAGGAATGATTGATTTCTTTGGTTATTTTTAACTGGCAGTTCAAAACACCGAATTATGCAACAGAGTTTTTTTTTTTTTTAATATATGTGCTGTTGATTAAAGTTAAAATGAAAGTCTGAGGAATATGGAGAGGTTTTACTATTACTTCTGAGAATACTGGCAATATTGTCTATTTTATGCAGTAGAACTCTACAAATTTCATTTGGAAGTTTAATGAATTACCATACCATCTCTGAAGGATCAGCTTCTTCTTTATGATGTATATTTATTTTATGATTAAGTACTTCCATCTCAATTATAACTATGCCAGGAACTTGCATTACTTAGGAAGTATACCGAAAAGAAAAGAATCTAAGAACCATCAACCCAGTGTTTACTGCTCAAGATAAGATGTGGCTACAGAATGCAGTTTATACCTGCAGGTCCCCTCTCATTTGCTCAGAGATCCATTTTAGTAACCATCAGTACAGGCATCTAACAGGAGTTTTGAGAACTGCATTATTATATGTGGCTGCAAAATGAGGATTTGTTAGGAGTTTAGGCCTCTGAAATCTCAGCCCAAAAGCTTTTTGCATCTCCTTCTGTCACATTTCTACAAGCTTAGGTCAAAGTTGGCAGGAAAGATGACAGCTTCGGCAATGGACCCAGAAATTGCTGTTGTGCAAACCAGGCTGTGAGCACAGACTGCTTGCCAGTTAAGAGCTCACCCACACACCTTGTGCCTGACAGCAAGCATGGGATACAGTTTGCCAACAGAGCAGCCAGCAGAAATTCAATTTACCCCACAGGTGTAACCGGTAACAGGCAATAACACATTCACGTGTTGCTATGCCAGCTGCCTGCAGAACTCCACTGAAGTCAGTAAGAACCAGAAGAGCACAAGTAGCTGTGAAACTGGAACATACGGTAATATTGGACTTCATCCTTTCACTGAGAACACCTTAATCTGGAAAGTATTGGACAGCAATTTTAGAAAATTGTTGAGGCACAGTACATGGGAGAAGGATGAACAGCGTGACTGTAGGGCTCTGTTTGAGGCAAGTGGTATCTGCTCACCAGCATACGTGGAATGCTGAAGCTACAAAAATGTTCTTAGCAAAATACAGTACAATTTTTGAAAGATGTGTTAAGCAACATGACACAAATATAGAAAATATCACATAATTGTTTAACAAGAATCATCTATTTAAAAGATAACAATGATGTGGTTTAGAATTAATAATGCAGAAATGCATCTCTAACTTCCCTTGTTAGCTATAGTAAATGCAGGAAAAGTTGAAGAGCTGATTATGTAGCATATGAGGAAGCGTTCTAAATAGGGGAATGCCAACCAGTATTTTCAATAATTTGGCTCTGCAGTTTTGACCCAGACACCTTACCCTACTTCTTTTATACTGGAATCATATTTAAGAGATTACTTGCATTTTTGTGGAAAAAAAAATATAAAAAAGTTTTGATAAAGAGTTTAATTTATAAAGACAATACTACTTTGAAATCCTTTTTAGACCAGGCATAGGGCTTGTTCCTCTTGTCATTGGTCTAAGTGGTCTAACTTTGTGAAAATTCTAGTAGAAAATTGCTGTCTTAACAGTCTAATATCCTTTGAGATGCCAGTGTTAAAAATGTGCGTGAAGCAATTACCTCCCACATTTCAGATCTTTACATAAAAAATGCACATAAGGAATATTCTGAACACCAGTCTCAATACAGAGAGCTTTGTTATATTTTTTAAATCCTCAAATATATTTGTTATTTTCATATTTTTAGTCAAAAGTGTAACAAAAATGACAGATTGGTCACAAATTGAACCAACATATTGTGTAGATGATGTTTTTATATTAGAAAAAGCCTATCCATTTTCGCTGTGCTGCAAAGTTTATCATGCAGCATTGAAGGGGTGCAAACATCAACCATCTTAAGTCATTCATACATGGTTTATATTGTACTTATCCAGACCAGCAGGGCAACTTTCATAAATGACATTGAAAGACAGTTTATCCTGTGTCTCACATTTATGCCAACATGGCATTTTCATATTCTCCAAATTCTAGAAGGTGCTGAAATATTGTAACTTGAATTAGAAACTGAGGAGTATGTTATTGGGGACATTTTTATTATGCAACTAAATGCTACAAATACAGTGAAATGCCACTTTTTTATTTTTTCAACTTTTCATTATTTCCTACTCTTTTCTTCCAAGAATCTTAATTTCAAAAACTTTGCATCTTTATCTGAAGAGCTCTTATTTATAATATTCAGACACTAGCTTTGTATTTTTCATTGCACTTTCATATTCTTGTGTTACATGCCCATATTATGGTTGCAAGTTTATGTGAAAATGACTTGAATAAAGTGTTTCAAGCGTTCAACTTGTCAAAGCATTGTATTTATTGTAGCACTTGACAAAAAGCCACCTCTCAATGAAAAAGCCTTGAAGAAAGTTGTGTGCATCTGCACATAAATGCGAAAGGCTGCTTTTTGACAAGTATTAAGTGAGAGGTGGGTCTATGCCTTAGCCAAAGAGTCTGCAGATTTGAGTTAGACTGTATTAGAAATCAGCACAAATGCAGGATGTTTGTTTAATGATTTTGTTCAAGTACGAAAAGGGCAGGAATTCATTTATAAGAGGAAACCTCTATTTTTCTTAAACTTAGTTATCCCATATTTCTGTTAACCCTTTGTCTTAAAGGGCTTCATTTGTAAAAGAAAACACCTGTTAACATATGCAAGAGAAACATATGTCAAGTGCTTGCATGTATTTACATGACTGTGAACACTGCATTCTTTGGAAATAAATATTACAATAACATTACAGGGTATGTTCAGTTTAGTTAATTAGGCAGAAGACTTCACTTTTGTGAAAAGTCAGCCATTTCACACAAAATAGGAGTAAAAATTGCTCTTCAGTATGATGTTATTAAAAACAACCTTGGTAGTGACTTTACTGTATCAATGATGGTAAATACCAAGGAAAACAAATCTTCCTTTTTACATAAAGCATTACTGTATTTCTCTATCAAAGACTACAAAAATATTCCTTTTTTTTTTTTAGCAAAATACTGTACAAATTTTGAAAGATGTGTTAAGTGTCTTCAAATGGAGGAAGTGTCTTCAAAACAAGAAAAAATGTGCTTTTAAGCAGTCGTTATTCAGAAAAAAAAAACATGAAGAAAATGGCTAATTTTGTCTTAGATTTTCCTTGTCTTTAGACATGAGATATTTCATTAAGTTGGTTCCTTTTTTGATGGACAGTCTTGCTTGTCTTCACAGTTTCTAGCAAACACACTGATATAGACATGAGCCACTCTTCTGGCACATGAAAAACAACAGAACAGGGAATGAAAAACAAATTTGTCTGCCAGCTGAACTGTCACCCCTGCTGCACCCAATCTGTATGGTCCATTGACTAAGTAGGCTGAAATGTGAAGCATTTCTGTTCAGCTAAAAGCACTAAGGTGTTCCTTTAAGTAACAGCTTTTCAACCATTTAATATCAACTATAGCACTCTTACCTTTAGATAAATAGCATAATGAAAGAAAAAAACCCTGTAATTCGTAGAATTATTTCAGATTTAAGCAGTGCTGTGATGCTTCTATATTTTAACAAAGTGCTAGACTTAGAGCTCAAAGCTCACGCTGAAGAGAAATACGCATAACTAGAACAATTCAGTTAAAAAAAAAAGTATACGTATAATGCAGAAACTATATTCAAATTTGTTGAAAAGCAAGTAATCTCCTACTCCAGATTTCCACTACTTGGATCTCATTTTGGACCTTGTGTTCACATTAAACCACATGCCTAAAATTACAAAAATTGGGTAGCATCATTCTACAATTAGAAAGTAGCCCAAAACTTTCACTTAATAATGTATGCAACTGAATTAATTCTCACTCAATTCTCCTTATTTAACCCACATAAGCTTGCCTGATGAAGTAAATATTTCCGCCTGTTCAGATATCTTTAACCTCAGGATAACAATAACATTTTAAAGAAATTTACAACATTTAAACTAATACTCAAAAATACTAATATTGTTTTATCAAATGGTTAAGATTTTCACCCTCCATACAGTATATCTGAAAGCAGTCTACAATTATCTTGCAATGTGTACCCAGACCGAGAACACTTTGGCCGTGTTATGGTACTGATCTGGGAAGTTGGGCAGAATTTGCAAAGTTTTTAATCTAATAATCCCAGAAGGAAATAACTTCCCATATCACTATAATAATAAACAGACAGTGCTTCAAGAGGTCTTTTTCCAAATAATGTTGCAGATAGAAGTTATGTTAAGAAGTCATGTTATACTGAAAATGTCATTATAAGAGAAAAAAGTCTGAACTTGATCAGGAAACTCACTAGGTTTATCAGTTCAAAAACTACTCAGTTGCACTTACAAAGTATTATCAAGTCTCAACCATTACTACTCACTTGTATACTGCTTAGCATATTAAGGGTGTGATCCAGGTGGGTCACTAAATACCATCTTAAAAACGGTAATAACTGATAAAAATATAAAGCAATGTCAGTAACCTAATCTCTCTCTCATTCATATCCAAAATAGTTTTTCAATCTTTTTTAGTAGAAGTGTTTTTAAAGAGGAAGGAGGAAAAGAGGGAGATATTTTGATTAAGTCAGACTTCCTCCAGGAAGAATGCTACTGCCAGAAATTTGCTTAAATGCCAATAAAAACTAATGGTCCTAGATGCCTAAGCACATGCAAAAAGGCAGCTTAGGACATAAACTCCTTGATTTTTACAGATACAGTTGTAAATACTTATTTTTTTTTTGAAGTATTTGCACCTTTAACTTCTTGGTCTTTAGAATGAGTCAGTTCTTAAAATATGGAACTCATCTACTCAGAGAAAGATTAGCTGTCCATGAAGAAATGTTTTATAACCGATGACAGCTAACAAAAGAAATGTTTCTGGCCTTTTATTAGAACCAGAAATGTTGCATATCAAACATTTGTTTGGACTCTCATTCAGCTAGTATTTATTTATTTATTTTAACGCTAGGAACTAGCACTGGGTTCTGGAACACTTAGAAGTATTTTGTATATATCTAGTAAACGGATGGATTTTTCCACAAAACACGATCCTTTCCTATGGAAAACCTAACAAATATATTTTCCTATTTAATTTTTATGTTTCGTGTTCCTCAAGTTCTGTTTCTGTTCTTTTAGATCTGGCCTAGAATTTAAGGTTGTTCCCTGTAACACAATAAAAAGAAGAGCACTTTGAAAAATGAAAGGGTATTTGAAATTTAGATTCTTCTGAGTAGCAATACAACTCAGGAAGTTATCACTATGTTTTATCTGTATACTGACATTTGCTTTGGATACAGAAGAGAAATCAAAAGGAAGAGTAAAGATCGTATTTAGATAATAATAAATAAAATCAGCAACTGGAACAATTTAGTGTTTAGGATCTTAACAGAAGGATGGATGGACAAAGAAGGCCCAGTAGAGCATCTCCCCCAATCATCTTCGCCACCTTCAGCTGTCATCAATGCTCTCCAAAAGCCTCCTCCTGGATTGCTTTCATCCTGCTTTGCCGCCCCAGTTCACAACGTGTTAGTTCAAAATCGCATCTCCAGTAATAAACCTAATCATTCAGACCATGCGTTTGTGGAAGCAGTCAAAGAGAAACACAAACTGCAAAGCTGCTCTCTGTTTCTGAAAGGAGAGCCATAAACAAAACAATTGCCTCAAAACAAGTTGACAGTTAAGTGCTTGCAGACGGCTCAGAAATATTTCGGGATGCTATACTGTGGGCACGGGCACTCAATAATCCTGCTTTAATAATACAGATTTGAGAAAAAGCAAAAGAGAGCTTGTGTGACTAAGCCGTAAGATTAGGGAGATTAAGAGGAGCATCTGTGATAGAGCTGAAGATGAACATGAACATGAACAAACTATAGCAAAGTAAAAATACTGCAAGCCAGGCCAGGAGGAGTCTGCTTCCTAAATCCTTCTCAAAACATATCAGCAAGGACACTTGCCAGTGTCTGTAGGACCATGGTATTTGAGGAAAACTCAGAGCAGAAAGCCATAGCAGAAAAAAAATTGTAATTTGCTTAGTAGTAGTTGTGGCAAAAAAAAAGGAGAGAGAGATGGGAGAGAGAAAAAAAAAAAAGAAGAGTGTGTTCCCACAGTGGAAGTGGAAAACATAAATAATGAACATAAGCAAGTCACCAAGGTCAGATGATATTCACTCAAGTCTAAAAGAAGTCAAGGGTGAAACAGCAGAGCTACTGACTGAGGCACAGTTCATCTTAAAGCCCCTGACACTCAGTGGTGTCAGCAGACAGCAGCAGATTTTTTGAAATTTCCAACATTCAATAAACCTTGAAGAGGTGATTCAGGCAACTATACCCTTGCAGGTCTATGCCTTATGTGCCTGAGGCAAATAAGCAGAGAGAAGAGAATTTGATTTAATAATTAATTAATTTAAATAAAAGATTAGGGAAGAGTCAACTTGGTTTTTGTAAGGGAAATCATGCCTTAAAAGCCTACTGGAATTCCTTGAAGGGTTTCGTAAGCACGGAAAACTAGATGACACTGTTCAGCTGGACTTTCAGAAGACTTCTAACAAGTTCCCTTAGCACAGGCTTTCAAGGAATAACAGCCACAAAATAAATGAGAAGGCTCCTGCATGGATAAATAATTAGCTATGAAGAAGAAACTGAAAGACGGTAATAATTGCTCAACTTTCATAGTGGATTGAGGTCACCAGTAAGTCCTATCCTATTCAGTATATTTATAAATGACGTAAGAAAGAGCAACAAACTTTCAAACAAGTTTTGCAAATCATAGAAGCTTATTCAAGTTAGTGTCTGAGACCAAGTGATCAGATACTAGAGCAGTAATTAAATGTTATGTAGATAACATTTAAAATGCTACAGTAATAACAATTTTATCTTCACATATAATAGGCTACAAATGCACCAGCAGTTCACACACACACACACAATGGTTGAGGCTGGAAGGGACCTCTACAGATCATCTAGTCCAACCCTCTGCTCCAGCAGGGACACAGTTATTAGAACAAAACATGCAGGTTACAATAGCTTAAGAATGTCAGTCCAAAGCTCAAACACAATAAAATAAAGCAATTTCAGTATTATTAGGAATTACTGAGAAAGGAATACACACGTTAAAAGACAGTACTATGACACTGTAAAAGCTGCAGGGCATATCTGCCTATTGGACAGTGAGTGCAACTGTCTCCTCTGGCTTTCCAAAAAGAACTTTTCAAAAAGGGCACATAAAAATTGATTTTTTTTTCAGGTAACATCAGAAAGAACTGCCTTCTGTCTGAAACAGTTTCTATAACAGGAACAAATAAATAAGGGTCTTCAGTCATTAAAGAGCTGCCACAATGACAAAAGCAGACATCCATAAAACCCAAGCAGCATACACGAGTATGCTCGTGAGTACGAATGAGTACGAATCTGTTGCTCATTGTTTCCTTCGAATGCAGAAGCCAGGGGCATTTAATAAATCTAAGTCCCCACAACATGCTATATGAATTGCACAGGGCAATTCATCTTACAGCTACAGTAGTCTTTTATCAAGTTTCTGGATTAATTTGGTATATTCTGAAAGACAATTATAGTTAAATAAACCACATAATTGAAGATTAATTAACAGCTCACAATTTTCATTTCTAATAACCACTAGCAAAAGTCTCTCAAAAAAAAATTAGTGAAGATTCTCATATCTCCAAACTTACTCCAAAACTAAGAAATGTCACCTTAGCCAGTCGAATGTTCCTAATTGTGGAAATCTTAATTTTCAGCATTCATTGATAAACAACCAAATCATTTTGACTACCAATAGTAGTTGTAACACTACGTTTTCATATGTGTTATATTTCCTTATGCGTCAACATGAGGAATGAGAAAGATGACTTTGATTTACAAGTGAAAAACATATCAGCATATCAGAGCACTCAGATTTTTTCCCGGAATATTTAAGACATTTTCAGTTCTTCAAACTGCCAACATAACCAAAGAAAGATAGAGATTACAATTTATGAAGGCCAATATTTTATTAATATATAGAATTTTTCATAACATGCATATCACTGATCTACTTCTTTATTTAATAAACATATGAATTTAAGTCTGTTCAAGTTTAAGAGATCTCTTACCTTTTCTTAGCAGAGATGCACATGATAATTTTTCTTTGGATTACCTCTTCTGATGATATTTTACCTTGTCCCCTCTGTCCTTACATCCAAGATCTCAAATAGTCTTAAGTGTATTTTTACTCAAACAAAACACTAAAGAATCCATACTGTCCTTGGAGAGCATAAATGACATTCCTCGTAACATTCATTCACATTAGGGTGTATTTTGTTAACGGCAAGACTATGTAACAGAGCTTGCAAACCCACACCACATGACCTCCTGTTAGTCAAGACACCACACTGCATTATTTAGCAGATCTTCATTAGAAACAGATGATTAATTCTAGCAAGAACTTTTTAAAAGTATTCTTTTACAGACTTCAAAGGATAAGAATGGTTTAATAAAAATAATTTAAAGGCATCTAAATATGTCTTTAAAAAGATATATATTCATAAAACTTGTAGAAATATTATCTCAGTGAGGACTTCTAGTCTGCCTTTCAAGCTTATCACAGAGGGGAAAAAAAAGGCTTCTAACACCAGTTGTTGCCCCAAAAGAAAATATCACCAGATGCAAATCTGCAAGAATCTTCTTTTAAAATCTGAATTTATATAAAGTCTAGTCATCAAATTTAATCCTCTTCCCTTGGAACACTGTAATTTGAGACATTTGTTCTCGACGTTTCTTGCTTGCTTCCCATGAAGGATGAAGAGGCTGCTCCAAACACGCTTTTTTGTTTTTGCACTTAGTACCTGCAACTTTATCAAATTGAAGTTTCTTGAGCTGTGGTTCTTTTTTAGGAAAAGCTGTACAGGAAATAGAATATAGAACATTAACTATATCAGGAATGCTATATCAATCTAATATTCAACAATCTCTACTTTTTTCTGTGTATTAAACTAATGCAACTCAATATGACCTATTTAATAAGTTGAAAAATGGAACTATATAGTGTAAGTTCAGTAAAATAATGAAAGAGCTATGAGTTCATTAAAGGGTAAACTACATATTAGAGACAAATATTACAATCTGACAGTCTTGTTTGTGCACAGGTAGCACTAAACTGGGCAATATAAAGGCAGATAAAAAAACACTGATCCTTGTGAGTCTTACTTCAAATACCTAAAGATATTTTAACACTTATAGTTTTATCATATTAAATAATACATACCCGTTCTCCTGTTTTTCAGAGGCTGGTCTTTAGTATTCCTAAAAATAAAAACGTTATTTATGATTTCTCATGAAATTAGTAAGAAGAAGGATTTGTGAATAAAGGGTGGTCATCAAAATAATGTGTATGGCTCTTCAAGTGTTATAGCATATGCAAATTTTAGCTGAAGTTCTGATCGTTTGCTGATAGCTACTAAAATTAGTAGAAATCACTATTTCCATTATTGGGGGGAAACAGAACAGTGAAGAGCACAAAAGAAAAGGTTTACCTTTTATTTTTGGGTTTCTGATTGGAAGAGGTAGACAGTGAGCTGCAGAACACTGATTCCAGCTTTGTTGTTTTTGCTTGTAGCTTTTCTTCTCCAATCAAATCCTGCAGTGTCGTGGGCATTGTGTTATTTTCTTTCTTCAGTGTTGTTTTCTGTGGTCTGTTTTTTCCCTTTGCTGAAGAAAAGTCACTAGCTGCTGCTATCTTCTTCTTCCTTTTTACTTTGCCAATGAAGAAATCATCATTGCTATCACTGTCAGAGTCCGATGACTGGTTATAAAACCTTTCCTCAGTACTGTCATCAAAGTACTCTTTTTCATTATGTTGTTCCCCATCACTAACATCACTAACTGATTCTTTTGTTGCAGTGAATTTGGTTATGCTTATGGCTTGTTTTCTATTTGGATAGTCAAATTTCTTTCCTACTTTACTCTGGGCAACTGCTTGCTCTTTTGCTGCCTGTAATGAAACTTCTTTTGGAGTGTATGCTTCCTCACTTTCCCCAATTTTCTCTTCATATTCACTCTCACAAAGTTCTTTCTCTGTGTTAGCTCCTAATTTCATACTCTTTTTTGCTTTGTTTTCACATGCTTGCTGCTTTTGAAATACTTTAAGAACTTGGTCACCCATATTGCTATTGAGAGGTGCAGACTCAGGCTGTTCTTCTGACTTGTTCTTTATTGAAAGCTGAGTACTGGCTGATGTCTTTCTTGCATCCTTAAAAGCTTTTACAGCAGCTGTAAAAATGACAGAAAAACACCATTTCTGCATTTATACATAAGAGTATATGACTTATCTTAGCAAAACACTTTTGCAAATTATATTTATAATATTGAGTAGGTATATTTTGAATATCTATCACTCAGTTATGAACAAATGGGACAGAGAATGTCTTACAATATAATGACAATGAAAGTGGGGAAAACAGCTTGAAATTATTACCAGGTCAATACAATGTTTTTGAACTTGGGTTTAAACTACGACAACAAGTCATTGGCAGTTTATAACCATGCTTGTCTAGGGCAATTCCTTGTGCATAAAATCTGTAAAGAAACAGCAGATTGTTCAGATATGATTGAATGAGTACTTGATATAGTTTCTTAAAATGAAGGAATTTCATGGCACTCTCCCTAGGACTTCACCCCTTTTAACATTTTTTTCTTTTTTTTTCTTTTTTTTTTTGGCATATGAGGTTACAGAAAAAAGCAGTTATCTTATAGAACCAGGAACAATTCCCCAAGGACATGGTAATAGATTCCATTACAAAATAAATTTGAGAACTTATCTGTACCTATTGCTACTTTCATCGCCAGTTCAGTCTGTCTTATTTTGGAGACATTCCACTACATCCATTGGCTTTTTAGAATTCCAGCTGAGCCCTTTTTGTCCTACAGTCCATATCTTAACATGTTATGGCATACTGCTGTATAAAAGATAGTTTCAACCACTTCACATAACTACAAACTTGTGATACTATTTTAGCTGCAGTTAGGTAAGACAGCAGCAAGAACTGATACACTTACTGTGTGTTCATGTCAGAAATATACAGGAGCAAGGTAACATCCCTGTAGGTGATGCACTCACAAACAAGTTAGTATACTACTTCATACCTTTAAGCTCAGCAATTTTTGACTTCAAGATGGGGTGTGTTGCAAGTCTTGCAATGGCTCGCTCAGTAGCAGTAGACTTTGGCTTTACAAAAAAAGATTAAAGGGAAGGAGTTCAGAATAGGGAAGACTTACGTAGGTCCATATGGGTTAGGCCACATACTAAAGCAAATCTGACCAGTGACTAAGAGAACAAGCTTATGAAACTATCATATAACAATATTCCACCCCACAAAAACATTCTATCAATAGAAGATATTCTAAATAAAAGAAAAAAGCAGCTTGTGAGTACCAAAATGCCTTTAAAATTGGCAATATGCTATTGCAGATTCTGAAATAATGTGTGAGTCTTCAAATATGATGTGGAAGAAAATGAAAACTCTGTAGACTGACTCAAAGATTAGAAGTTATATTAAGGCATTAATTAGAAAAAAAAAAAAGAAGAAGAAGTGGTATCTCTTCCATTTCTCACTCTCTTATCTATTATAGGTCACGGATTTTTATCTACTATATAGGTTACATATTGGAAGAGATAATTCAGCTTCAGGTTCATCTCATCACTATGTTTAAAGAAAAAAATACTAGGTCTATATGAAATGACTTAAAAGATATTTTTGCCTTCTGTTCAGGAGGGAAAGAAGAGAGTATACAGCTTTGTAAAACACAAATTCAGCAGGCAAGTTTCTTAAAGCCTACAGTAGAATTCTTTGGGATAGAGAAGAAAAAGACCTGCTACTCCAAAAACGGTTGAAGTATGACAATGCCTGCTCAAAGTATCTGTTTGACATAAGAGAACTTGATTAAGGAATCTTATCAGGGTTTATGAACCTTCTTGTGCAGTCTTCCATTTCATATGGGCAGTTAAATAATCATTGGGTTGAGACAGATGGACACCTGATGTCAAACACTGATAGAAGACACTGTTTCAGCGCTTGGATCTGAAGGACTCTGAAATAGGGACACATTCTCACTAAATTGCCTGACAAAGAAGTTACTACACCAGAACTAGTCTTTTTAAATGTAGAAATAGAGGTTCACTGTACATCTTATTTCTCAACCAAGGTACACTTAACAAGGTATTTTACCTTAGCTCTAGAGCTTATGAAATACATTCTGAATACATTCCTTTTCTTCTGAAGTCCTGTTATTACAGGATTATTCCTTCAGATACAGAAAAAAACACCTTCTCTTTTTTCTTATTTTTATTTTCTTTATCCAGTCTACAGCGCTCTGAACACTAGCCAGAGGAGACGGGTCACAGAGATGGGTCCATTTCCAAGGGGCCAGACTGGCTTGCTCTCAGCTAGCCTAGCTTTGTAAACTTGGAGTTTGAATTTTGTTCCCCATGAGACAGCGCTGCATGCTGCAACCAGATTCCTGGGACAGCAAGCTCTTATTTCTGAAGATCAAACAGTATTTTCTTTGGAGATTTTTCTATAACTGGAAAATATATTTCTGAACTTAATTAATATACTTTTCCCCTCAGCTACTTCCTGTGGGTTTTGAAAGAATATACTATGAAGTTCAGAAAACAGCAGCAGCAGCTTCTGTACAACATCTGGTGTCCTTTAATTCAAGTATTTATAGAACGCGTTTAAGCATATACATGCCAATTCATATGGAATAACCACTTTTTTTTTCCTTCTAGCAAAATACTTTACAAACACGACTCACACTGACACACAGCAGCCAACAAACATACAATGTGATATACACATTCTTAAAAACTTTCAATTTTTCTGTTCTTCAGCACATGCAATGTTAAATTCATTTTTCCTTAATATTTTCCAGTATATAAAATATTGTCAGAAAATAAACTACAGTAGAAAAACGTCAACTTCATCAGGATATCTTCCCCCATGTTTGCTTATACAGACACTGGAACTGTAAATGTTTATTCTCTCCATTATTTTGCACCATTTTTTTTCATGCAAGAAGGTACTAATACTTTCCATAGGAACTGTGTTCAGTGTCCAAGAAAGAAGCTGCAAAATGAACAACTAAGCATTGTCTATTCACACTTTCCAGTCAAATATTTTAAGCCACCTACACAGGAATTTCAAAGTCAAAGTTTCCTGCAATTCTTTAGCTGGCTAAATGGTGCATTATTTCAGCAGATGCCTATGCGTTAAAGATGCCTATGTGTCATCACTGCCACGCTTCATTAAAACTCCATGTAGATATTTAAGAGAGTTCACTAAACCTGCTTGGGTATTTTCAAACCTCTCATAAGTAACAAGTTTGCCTCAACTAGTATTTCTCACCATGAAGCACTTCTGCACAAGAAGCAATGGCCTACTGTGGTCTCACCTGATACAATCACAGACAACTACTAGAATTTCTGCTAGATCACGGCAGAGCGCAGCCAAACAGGTAATGCCGTCTGGCCCAGCATCTGTCACTTAGATTTATCTCTTCTAGTTAAAATAATGATACTCAAATGCAGTCAGCTAGAAACCTACACATAAGTACAAAGTATGTAGTACACAACAAAAGATATCACACAGGAAAACCCTGATGCATCTCATATTCAAGTTTCTAAATTAACTATAAGGGCAGTCTAACAGAGAGCACAACAGCAATCCCAAATTCTCAGCCAAAACAAGGTATCATTGCAGTACCCTTTGTAGGAGCTTAGAGGACGATTTCTCTACTAACCATACAGAGCACTTACTAATCCATAGGCTCTCCCCAGAGCTGTAACTAGTTCTAACTGCTCTACATAATAGCAGAAAAACTGTGGTTAATGTAAAGTGAAGGTGCTAAATCACAGCTGCTATCCAAGCCTATCCCCTGATTCCATACTGTTAGCTCCATCCTGCTATGAAATAAGATCCTAGAGAAGCGGTTATTTTCCGACTGTGAAATGCTTCTAGAGCCCTTTATGTTTGTAAAATACATGGTACGCAACCTTGCCTATCTGCCCAAATAAGACTTTAGTGTGAGAAGCACTTGGTTATTGGTACCAGTTGTAGTAGTAGATTGTTTCCCAGTTCCTGGCAGGGAGATGCATTTGTTGACTGGGTTCCCCTCCATAGTGGAAGGGTAAATCAAGCAGGAAACATGTAAAATGTAGGCACCAGGACAAATTAGGAATTGACCTGCTGGAAAGCAGCTCCACAGAGAGGGATTTGGGAGTCCTGGCTGACAACAGGTTAACCATGAGGCAACAATGTGCCCTCACGGCCAAGAAGGCCCATGGGATCCTGGCCTGCATCAGGAGGAGCGTTGCCAGCAGGTGGAGGGAGGGGATCCTGCCCCTCTGCTCAGCTCTGGTGAGGCCGCACCTGGAGTATTGGGGGCAGTTCTGGGATACCCAGGACAAGAGGGATGTGGAGCTTCTGGAGAGGGTCCAGTGTAGCAACAAAAGATGATTAAGGGACTGGAGCAGCTATCGTATGAGGAAAGACTAAGTGACCTGGGCCTGTTTAGCCTGGAGAAGATCAATAAGGGATCTTATCAATATGTACAAATACCTGAGGGGTGAATGTAAAAAGGATGGGACTAAACTCTTCTCAGTGGTGGCCAGTGACAGAACAAGCGGTATAAATTAAAAACACAGGAAGTTCTATCTCCCTATGAGGTAGAACTCCTTTCCTGGGAGGGTGACTGGAGCACTGGAGGCAGCACAGAGAGACTGTGGAATCTCCTTCTCTGGAGATCTTCCAAATCCACCTGGATTCCACCCCATGCCATGTGCTCTAGGTGTCCCTGCTTAAGTAGGGTGGGTTGGGCTATTTCTACATTTCTAAAGGTCCCTTCCAACCTCAGCCTTTTTGTGATTCTGTGAAATGAATCTCTAGTGGATAGAAAAGGAACTAAAGAACAGATCTCCCATACACAGCAATAACAGGAAGGAATCAAAGAGCATCTATAAGAAAGAAACTTCAGCTTTAAATGCTTCAGATTTTGCACTGGAAATGTAGGTATTGTCAGTCGTTTATTCAACTGAGCCCCAGTCTTCCACTTTTTCCATGTAACCTTGGAAGGATGACAAGGGATAAGGATTATAAAGGATTAGTTACACAAGCATAATAGCAACACAGACAGGAAGTTCTCTTACAGCAATTAATTCAGTATGAATCTCAAGGAAAGTTTCAACTTTTTTTTTTTTTTTTAAATAGACTACACTTTTTAAAAATGGACTAAAGCAAAAATGTCAATTGAAGCTAAGACATGGATCCTGAAAGATCTAATACCTTTGCAAAAAACTTTGCAGCAAAATGTAATATAATAGGGGCTTTACTGATCAATTTCATGCAAAGCATCAGGGCAGCCCTTACAACTCCCACTTGAGCTCCTGTTTCTTGCTCTTTTCCTTTCTAGCAAAAGCTTGCATCAGCAAGCAGAGCCTTGGAGAACTTCCCTCTACCAATGACAGTCACACTGACTGGCATTTCACTGCTGACTTTTGCGGAGGCTTCAGGAGAAAGCATCCAATTCTTCTAAGTAGTGTGGAGGCGCTTACACTGTTTTATATCTGGATCAATGCTGTCCTTTGTCCCATGATTTGTTCATTTAGATTTACTTTGACACCTACATCCAGTTTGGCTGATCTCTTATTAAAAAGGAGTGTGTTTCTAATATTTCTAATGGTGCCTCTTTTGTCAAAATGAAGAACTTCCAAATATGTCAGAAATTCAAGAAAAAAAAAATCACATTTCCTTTTCTCTCCCCTCCATGCATGGTGAAAAATATCTTCCTTCCTAGCAGTTTAAGGAGTCTATAAGCGCTTTAAAGAGTCTAACACAGTGCCTCAATGTTACCAAGCCAAATTTTAGTTGTATAGAAGAATCAATAGAGTTTCTCTGGATGAACCTGTCACAAGTAATTTAGCACCCATACAATTCTCTGAGGTAAATTTTTGTTTTCCAGATTGAGAAAGGGTTAAAAAGAAAGACAGCATGTGATCTCAAACTGTCATTGCAATCTACAGCAGAGTTTGGCATGAAATCCAGACCTGCCAGAGTAAAAATTACATACTTAGTCTGCTACTGATTCCTTCCTCTTCCTTTTTATCCCTAAAAATCACTGTCATGACTGTAGATGTATTTTTGAAGAAAAAAAGTTTCCCCAGGTGATAAA